GAGTTGAATTAATAATTATTGAATACCTCTGGCAAGGATAATTACTCAATACTCAATAGTTCTTAGTGGATGCGATTGTGTAGTTGTGAATTAACTGCTGAGACTGTTGCAGAAGTCGTGGACTTGCCACTTCCATCAAACATTTGAGATATAGGTTAAACAGTGACATCTGCAGGTAATGACTGGCAACAACTATTGCACAATATATTTACCACATCACGGTGGACGATTTCACAGCACAGCATTGAATGCCAATCGCTAACAGTGCAATGTAGTCCAGTAATGGAAATGTTTTTAAAAAGTTACTAACAGTTGAGGTAAATAATAATAATCCTTGCATTTGATATAACACCTTATCATGTTGTTGAGACATCTCAAAGCACTTCACAGGATACATGATAAAGTGGAGTGTCTGTAATTTGTCAGCAAAACGAGGCAGACAATTGTGCACAGCAGTATCCAACAAATAGTATTGTGTGAAATGAACATGAAATGAATATTACCTGGATCATCTTATCGGGCTGCCAGGTTTCGCCCACAAGATATACAGTCAATTCACTTTACAACAGTATATTCTGTGAAGCGCTTTGAGTCATCTCAACGACAGTAGCAGGTCCTACCTTTCACACCACCTCCACTTCGTCGCGGCAAATGGCTTTTCCTCCAGCCCCTGTACCATCTCGTGCAGTGTTCCTCAGGGCTCTGTCCTCGGACCCTCCTCTTCACTCTCTACGTGCTCCCTCTCGGTCACATCATCCGCAGACATGGGGTAAATTTCCACACATATGCAGATGACACCCAACTCTACCTCTCTGCCTCCATCCTCAACTCCAGGACTGCTGGTGTCCTGACCGACTGTCTGTCCGACATCAAGTCCTGGACGAGGGACAACTTTCTCCAACTCAATGTCAGCAAGACCGAGGCCCTCCTTATTGGCTCACGCCAGTGCCTCCACACCTCAGGCGCTGACAGCATCAGCCTCCACGGCTGCACACTCAACCTCACTAAGCCAGTCAGGAACCAGGGTGTCTTGTTTGACCCTGAACTGTCCTTTCTCCCCCACATCCGCGCCATGACCGGCACTGCCTACCACCACTGCCGCAACATTGCCAGACTCCGCCACTGCCTCACCCCTCAGGCTGCCGAAACCCTCACCCACGCATTCATCACCTCAAGGCTGGATTACGGGAACTCCCTCCTCATAGGCGTTCCCAACTCTTCCCTTCACAAGCTGCAGATCATCCAAGAATCTGCAGCTCGTGTACACTCACGCACCAGGCTCCGTGACCCCATCACTCCCATCCTCGCCCGACTCCACTGGCTCCCCATCCCCCAGAGGATTGAGTTCAAGATCCTCGTCCTCACATTTAAGGCCATCCATAGCCTTGCCCCCTCCTACCTCTCTGCCCTGCTGACTCTCTATCAACCTGCCCGCTCCCTCTGTTCATCAGGCTCCAGGCTGCTCTATGACTCCCGCCCGACCTGCCCTACCATCGGTGGCCGGGCTTTCAGCCTCTCTGCCCCCACACTCTGGAACTTCATCCCACGGTCCCTTCGCCTCACTTCCTCCCTTACCTCCTTCAAGGCTGGTCTCAAGACCCTTCTCTTCGACCGTGCCTTTGGTCTCCCTCCCACCTCTCCGCCTTCCCTCACCTCTACACTGCCCCTCCCCCTTTCTCGGGCCCCGACATCTGACTGTTCAGTGCTTTGGGACGTCCTCCTGACGTGAAAGGCGCTCTATAAATGCAATTTTGTTGTTGTTATTATAAAGTACAGTGAGTGACCGTATTTTGGAGGCAAACAATGGGTATTAATAATAATCCTTGCATTTGATATAGCGTTTTTCACGTCTTCTCAACGTCTCAAAGTGCTTCACAGAATATGCTGTAAAGTGAATTGACTATATTTATGGGCGAAACTCAGCAGCCAATTGCACACAGCAGTATAACAACGTGGATTGAAAAGACCAATTTTTTTTTTTGGGAGGGATTATTATTAGGCGTGTGGAGTAAGGAAGGTTGCTCAAGGTTTCCCCCTGCCAGATGTCTTGCTTGCAAGGAGAGTGCTCTAACCACTGAGCTACAGGATTGTATTGTTATGAAATGTATTGTCATTTTCCTACCCCTAAATATTGAAAATGAAAGGAAGAGCTACCAATAGTCTGAGATTTAAGTATCTATCTTTGGACTGAACCTAGTCCTTTTTGTGTTAAGTTGGGGAGGTGAGGCAGAGGGACTCCAGGATGGAATTCCTGAGACTGGGGACAGAATGGAATTCCTGAGAGTGGGGACAGAATTGCTGAAAGACCATTCACTGATGGTGGGGTGGATCAGGAAGGGGGCATGTAGTAGGCACTGATAGCTGAGCGGGGGAAGTGGAATATATGGAAATGGACCCCATATGGGACCCAGTGGGAATATGTGTAAAAGAAAAAGGAGAGAACTGGGATTCAGCCTTGAAGAATACTGCACATTCCTACCCCCAGTAGCTAGTCTGCCACCTCCAAGTCCTGCTGACAAGCCAGGCTGGCTGTTCTGCCATCAAACCTTGCCTTGGACACCCCTCATGAATTCCAAAAAATTCCACTACCAAGACCTCTTTGGAGAGTTGACTGTATTCAGCCACAAGGAGACCCCATTCACCCATTGAACGATGGTTCCATTAGTTGGAAATGTGTATCTTGAGCAGTAGCTGCCTGCTGTCTGCAAACCATAGCTCTCTGCATACCAATCAAGGTGGATACCAATTCCTGGATAAGAGTGTGTATTCACAAAATTGAAAATATGGAAGAACTGTACAGTATTAATAAGGTGGAGGCAATCTAAAAAAAATCTAGCCTGTTTTTTCACGTTGCTGTGATAGAATACCAATGCTCTCTGCTGCTAACCGCACCTCATCCAAACAACTCCTTTAGTGAAAACAGTGCCACATCTACTGTTGTATAATGGAATATTGTTCGACAAGCAACTCTGGCACAGTACTCCTGGTGGAACAGTGGATTAGTGTCTTGTACCTCAGAAGCAAGGTGCTGAAAATAATATGAAGTTAGTCTTGGCTACTATTGAGTAAGGATTACATTCTCTACCACGCTGTTCTCCTGGAACTCTTCAGTTGTCCTGTTTTTTCAAACCCTGGACTTGGTTGCAAATCCTGGACTGTCCAGCGCCTTGGGGCATCCTCCCGATATGAAAGGGATATAAATGTATATTTTTATTTGTACTGTTACAAGAATTATACCAGTTCCCATTCATTGAGTATAGTCAGTATGTCTGCCTGTAAATACTGCAGTTTGCAGACTTAAACAAAGCAGGCTCAGGCCTACCACACTGCAGCAAGAGATCTCCAAAATGTTGGTTATACAGTGAAGTAACATGCAATGAAGTTATCTGCCATCACTCTGACTGAATAAGAATTTATATGAAAAGCTAAACCTTCTCAAAAAGTACATTTAAAAAGGGGATCTAGAAGCTTTAAGGAAAAGTATTTGGTAAAGAAAACCACATAATGACCTAACTTGCCTAAATTATGTTGCCTGTGTCATCTTTAGCCAATTCAAAAGATTCCAGTCATTTGTGAGCGTGTCTATATGCCTTCAGCTCCCCTCTCGACTCTCTTCCCCCTCCTCGCTCCCTCCCTTCCCTCCCCTCACCCTGACCATTTCCCCCCTGCTCGGGTCATGACCCAACTGTGCAGCGCCTTGGGACGTCCTCCTGACGTGAAAGGCGCTTTATAAATGGAATCTTGTTGTTGTTGTTGTTGGTGTCTACATTGAAGAGACCATGATATTGATTACAGTGAATGGAACAAATGGACAAAAGTTGTAACTTTCCCAGAAATCTAGCAGACAATCACAAGAGATCAATTTGTTTTGGTCAGCCGGGTGTCTGACACATGAGGAAACCCATCTCCATGCTTAAGAGTATCCAAACCAAACTGAGAGTTCCATACATCCCAAATACACATGGAAATCCCAGAGATAGATTGTTGGAATGGAATGCACACACTCTCCCTGGAGGGACACATCCTGATTATTTAATCCTGGATCGTATTAGGTATAGGTTAGCAAGAGCCAAGGTTTGGGGACTACAGAGTGTGAGTTGGGTCTAACCAGCTAAAACCTCATAGCTTGCCATTAATATCGCTGTCTGGCAAGTTTCCTGCTGCTTGTCCAACTTAGACCATCCTACCCATTAGGGCTTTGGTTTGCAGAGTTAACAGCTGAGTGGGATGACTCCCTGCACCCAGTGACTGGTCAAATAAGCTTCATCCTGGTCCTTCCAGAATATCAACCCTACTGGGGCCCAGGAGAGAGAAGGCGAGGAGGGCGGTGGGAGAGAAGGACTGATTAGGAGTAGCAAAGTGTGCGGAGTAGAAAGGGGAGCCTTTTCAGAAGGGCACAGCTCGGGTTGGAGCGGCAGCGAAAACACGCACGCAGAGACCGTGAGCAAGGTGTTGAGGGGGACACGGTCAGCCCGCACAAAATCAACCCGGTATGGTTTGGATACTCAACAATAACAATGGGTTTCTGCACGTGTCAAACACCAGGCTGACTCCTAAAATTGCCGGGCTCGGTAGTCCGGGTCCTGAGTCAGTCATTCCAGGGCACTGCTGATGACAGCACAACCAGCCCGGCTCATCGGCAGACCAGTCAGGGGGGCGGGGAGGCATCAAACCCAGCTCCTGTTAACCCTGCAATCCAAAGCCCTAACGGATACGGTGGTCCTACTTGGAGGAGGTGGACCACCTGAACACACAAGAGACGGTATCTTGTTCAACAACTCATCTGACCGAGCGCTCCCCCAACACTGCAATAGAGTGTCAGCCTGGACTGTGGGCTCAGAGTACCGCCCACGGCAGGTGTGAAGCCACAGCCCTGGTGACCGAGAGGCCAGAGTGCTAGTGGCTGAGCCAGGAGGGAGGTGTCCACACACACACACACACACTCACTGTGTTATTACCAACCAACATGTGGGCTGTCACACACTCACACACTCACTCACTGTGTTATGACCATCAGAGCTGCTGCTCTGACATGTGAAGAGGGCGGAGCGTCATTCTGATCATTTCAGTAAAGGATGAAAGGTCAAGTCGTCTCAGTGAAGCCTCCACCTGCCTCGGCCCCTCTCTCCCGGTGCCTCGGCCCCTCTCTCCCGGTGCCTCGGCCCCTCTCTCCCGGTGCTCGGCCCCTCTCTCCCGGTGCCCGGCCTCGGGTTGACGGTTGGTGCCGGGGGGAGGGACCGCGAGGCGGCGGCACAGTAATGGCGGCCGCGCGGCATCAAGTGGACCCGCTGGTCCGGCCCTGATCACGTGCCGGGGGGGGGGAGGGACCGCGAGGCGGCGGCACAGTAATGGCGGCCGCGCGGCATCAAGTGGACCCGCTGGTCCGGCCCTGATCACGTGCCGGGGGGTGGGGGTGTGGAGCTGTTATGTCACTCAGTGGATGGGTTGAGGCGCTGCAGCACAGCAGAGGGTGAGTGAGCATCTTGTTGCAGTGTTGAGTGAGTTCATTCTAGGAATTTAGGATAATGCAACGGTTGCAATCTTTTTAAATTGCCCCCCCCATTGTATACTATTACATAATTTTATTTTATATAATTTTACTTCTGTAATTTATGTAATGCAACAACAACACCCCGTTGCTTCACTGGGTAGTGACTGTATTTTGTAGATGAACATGTATTGCAGCCATGAATATGTGCACAGCACTGTCCTACATACAGCTATGAAGTGAATGACCAATTTTATCTGGGTGACTGTTGGCCAGGACACTGGGAGAAACTCCCTTCACATTTGAAATTGATTTGGATTTTTGTTTGATTTTGCTTTGTAATAAGAATAAGAAGGCACTATATCAATTGCAAGATTATTATTATTATTATGTTTTGCTGGGGTTTGTGAAAGCACAGCCCAACAGAACAAAAGATCATAAGATTATTATAATAATAATCCTTGCATTTGATATAGTGCCTTATCATGTCGTTGAGACGTCTCAAAGTGTATTACAAGATATATTGTAAAGTGGATTGACTGTGTATTTATTGTGTGGGCGAAATGTGGCAGCAAGTTGCACATAGCAATGTCCCACAATGAGTTATGGAGTGAGTGACCAATTTTATTTGGGGGATTTCTTGCTTCCCTTTTTGAATAGTTTTTGAAAGCCCATGAGATCTTCAGTGTCTATCTAGCTAAACAGGCAGATGGGACCTCGGTTTAATGTCTCATCCAAAGAACGGCACCTCTGATGATGCAACAGGTGGTGGTAAGAGTATAGAATTTATTGATTATTGACAACTGATTCGGTAACACAAAACTTCGGAAGACAGGCAATCCCCAGTACTATCTTTTAACCGGCACCGGTACAGATTTCAGCCTCTGGAATCGCCCCTCAGATATAGCTGATCCTCACAGTACCTTACAGCCCTTAGTACTGACGACATAGAGACGACAACACGTACCTTGATACTTTGAGACATCTAGAAGACGTGAAAAGCACTATTATCAAATGCAAGGATTATTATTATTATTGTTGTTGATATACAGTGGAGAGATCACAGAACTATCACACAGAATCACAGAGTGGCTCCTGGAAACCCAACAGAAACAATCAGCTCTTAGCCCAGCACCTCACACGTGCCGCCTAACCTGAGTTTTGTGTTTCAAATGGCCCAACCACTACTACTGTTATTATTTCTATGCCTAGCAGACAGAACTGAAAACATATTACCCACTGCTCCTCCTCTTTCACTTTTAATGGTCATTTTCTTACTGGAGGTAAATTCCCTCACCCTTGTACATATACATAGATACAGTAGAATCTCTATTGATTCCACTGGGAAGTGTGCTGACCCTCTACACAACTCCAAATATTGCAAAGTTACTTCCTTTTATGTGTTTCTAACTCCACCTCCCCTGGTCACAGAGATAGCTCTCACCCTTCGCAGGCTGCTTTGCACAGAGAGATATGGACATTTTCTGGGCAGCCTCCCACAGCCTGCTTGTTTCTCACCCTTGATATAGGCAGGTGCCTGAGGCTGCAGCCTTTTCTTTCTGTGGTCCATTGTTCTTACCTCTATGCTAAAGGACCCGATTGCTCATTGCCTCAGCGGAGTGAACATCTTCCCAGAAAAATATGAAATGTAATCAGAAGCTAACCTCAGCCCGTCCAGCAAAGCTACTTTTAAGCATTTAACTATCAAACCTTCTGAAACATTTGATTGCTGTTTGAAATAACCAAGGCACTCTGAGGTGATAGTCAGCACATTTCAACACTACTGGGACAATCTGGAAACAAAAGAAGAACCAAGTAGAATAGACTGGTTGTCAGATGAGGAAACCTGTTAGTAAAAATGAAACTATAAATGGCTAATGTGTGACTGGATTGCTCTCACAGCACTCAAACTATTAATTTCAATCAAAAACATCCAAACTTGCTGAAAGTAGTTTTAAATGGCTTGGACGAGTCATAGAATTATAGAACCTTTCGGTCACTGCTTATGCTGGGTCTCCAAGAACTGTGTCTTTAGTCCTGTAGCTCAGTGGTTAGAGAACTCGCCTTGCAAGTGAGACACCTGGGTTCAATTCAAGGATGAAACCTTGGACAAGTTTCCTTACTCCACACACCTAATAATAATCCCTCCAAAAACAAAAAACAATAATAAATTGGTCATTTTCAATCCACGACTGTTTGTGGGACACTGCTGTGCGCAATTGGCTGCCGCGTTTCGCCCACAAATATACGGTCAATTCACTTTACAGTCTATTCTGTGAAGCGCTTTGAAACGCCGAGAAGACATGAAAAACGTTATATCAAATGCAAGGATTATTATTATTAGTCCTGTTCCCCTGATAAGTGAGAATGCCTAAGATGTTTATGATTAATCTCTGAAACTGAGCTGCAGATGAGAAAATGGTAGCCACAAACCCAGAATGTTTTGATGTGCAGAGTGGTCTTTTATCTCTGAATTGCCTCGGACATTTCACACACAACTGTTGTGTCAGTGTGTGGATGATAAGACACACTCGGCATCCTTACCGACAACAACAGTTTGCATTTATATAGTGCCTTTCACATCGGGAGGATGTCCCAAGACGCTGGACAGTAGAGGTTTGCACCAGAGCTTGGAGTTGGATGTTGGATTCAAGGGATGTGTGGAGCAAGAGGGATACGGGACATGTGGGGTGGGGGTGAAAAGCTGATTGAAGGCACAGTCGAAGAGGAAGGCCTTGAGACGGACCTAGAAGGAGGGAAGGGGCAAGACAAAGGGACTCTAGAATGGAGATGGTGGTGAGGATGGTGACAAGAAGGCTGAAGGTCCAACCGCCGATGGTGAAGCAGGCAGGCCGGGGGCCTTGGAGAGTCCAGTGCCCACCGAGCAGAGAGAGTTGGTGGGTTGGTAATGATTTAGCAGGTCACAGAGGTAGGGAGGAGCAAGACGTGGAGGGCTTCAAAAGTGAGAATGAGGATCTTGTCAATCCTCTGGGGGATGGGAAGGCAGTGAAGCTGGGCGAGGGTGGGGTTGATAGGCTCACGGGAGCTTGGTGCAGGAGAGGCTGAATGAATCAAGGCATGGACATGAAAAAAAGAAGAAAGAATATCGATCCTTACATTTGGTATAGAGCCTTTCACTTGGAAAACATGTAAAAGCGTTTCACAGGATATACTGTAAACTGGAGTGACTATGTTTTATGGGTGAACATGGCAGCCAAGTACGGGTACGTGTGCATGGTATTGCCCCACAAGCAACCATGAAGTGAAGATCTACCTTCTCTTTAAGTAGTGCCTTGGGATCTTTAACATCCAGAAAATATATAGTCAATTAATTTTACAGTATATTCTGTGAAGAGCTTTGATGCATCGCAAAGACAGGATAAGGCGGGTGTAAGGAATGAGTGAAGATTTGTGTGGAGTATAAAATGCCAGCATGGACTGGTTGAGCCAAGTGGCCTGTATTCCTGCTGCACATCCTTTGTAAAACCCTGAGTTCACTTCTGGAGCATCACCTCATGTGGATGAATAGACATGCAGATAATTGGCTTGCAAATAACAACAACAACTTGCATTTATATAGCGCCCTTCGAGGAGGGTAGTATGCTGGAGCACTTAACCACCATTCTATTGTACTACATCTCCTCCTTCTAAATAGTGTGACCAGCAAGTAACCTAGAATAAATCCCTCGGTTCTTTTAATCATTGCTGTCCAAACCCAAATAGAGCTTTTTCCATTTACCACATTTTCTCCTTTTCTACTCGTGTCTCCAGTGTCTTCTGAAAATTGTTGTTAAATGATGCCCACTGTCTGCTAACGTAGTTTGCTTCTGAGAAAGTGGCCCTGGGATGTACTGCATTGTTGGAACGAGTGTCAAACCGATATTTAACACCATCTGTGTATTAAAATGGACGTTAAAGATCCCATGGTCCTATTCAAAAAGAGCATCTCCCTTGTTCTGGCCAACCATACTCCACATAATTGGTCATTTACATCCTAGCTGTTTGTGTTACATTGCTGTGTAAAAAAAATGGTTGTCACGTTCACCTGCAGTCACTATACTCAACAAAAAAAAGCTCTGTGACTAAAGTGCTATATCAAATTCAAGGTTTATTATAACAGGAATTCCTCAGAATTTCATTACACAAGAATGAGGTTAAGAAGATAATGCTTTATAGGAAAAAAAATCTTGGAAGCGCTTTTCAAGATGTTTTGACATGACAAAATGCAAGGATTATTATTATAACCTTAACAATGTCAATTTATTGGAAGAAGATGGAAACCCTCGTCTTTTAGGTACATTATTTTCAGGCTGTTTTTAAGAAAGTTGTACCTTGAAATTTGGAGAGATTGAATACAATTATGTTTATATAGCGCCTTTCACATCTAATGGAAATGCCTCAGATGCAATGGAATCAGGTTATGTAATATTGGCTACTTTCATGGAACCTAATAAGTTGGAAGCAATTTGGAGATTGCAGTAATTGCCTTCATCAGATTACTATACTTTCCTAAGTATAAACCTCAGTAATCTTTTGGCAGAAGTATGCGCACCATGATTGATCCAATGATCCTGTTGGTTTTTCCCCCAAATTAACTAGGATTTTTCCAGGAAATGTGACTGATAAACCTGCAGTGATCACGTCAAAACCCTTTGTTCCCTTTGTCTGAATGTCTCTCTTTATCGATGACAAGTGTTCAAAATCTGATCAGAAACAGATGAAGTGAAACAATCCATTATTAAAAAATGTGATATGAGGAATCATTTTCATTTGATTTGTGAATTTGGTTGAGTTTTTTTGACCAGCTGCATGCCTGACACTCGCGAAAACCCATTGCCATGCTTAATAGTATTCATACCAGTCTAAGATATCCACACATGCATGCCATGGTAGTTCCACATATGCATGCGATGCATGGAAATGTTTTTGTGTCTAGAATGGAAGGCATACTGTATTACTAGAGGGATGCATTATATAGCACCTTACATGTCGGGAGGATGTCCCAAGGCACTGGAGAGTTAGTATTTCGGTCATTATAGCACAGAAGGAGGCCATTCGGCCTATTGTACCTGTGTCGGCCCTTTGGAAGAGCTACCCAATTAGTCCCACTCCCACACTCTTTCCCCATATCCTTGCAAATGTTTCCTTTTCAAGTACCTATCCAATTCCCTTTTGAAAGTTGTTATTGATGAGCCAGTCTGGCTGTGCTGTCATCAACAGTGCCCTGGAGCACTGCGGACCTGCCTGGTCCCACATTAGGACATGAGTTCATAGTGAAGAATGGCAGTTCAATGCAATCCTTGGAGAGAGTTGTGTTGTTTATCAAATGAGATGTTAAACTGAAGTCCTGTCTGTCTGAATCCTGCAGATTAACTACGGATTAAAATCTGAGTGAAAGTGGAACCTTGCTTACCTAATTACAGGAAGTATTACAACAACTTGGATTTATACAGTGCCCTTACGCAGCTAGTGTCTCAAAGCATTTAACAGTGGCAGAGCTTGACACCAAGCCAGGGAGAGAGAGGGGTTGACCATAGGCACAGTCAAAGAAGAAGGTCTTCAGATGTGATCTGAAGACGGGCAAGGCAGAGGGATTGAAGCAGAGTTCCAGAATCTCGGGGCATAGTGAATGAAAGCACAGCTGCCGACGATGGGGCTGAGGAGATGAGGGACGTGCAGGAGGCCAGAGCGAAGGGGCGGTTAGAGGAGTGAAGTGTAAGCTACAATAAGGCCCACAGTTCGGATACACAACCCTCAACATGAGTGTTGATTCTATCAGTTGGAATCAACACTCATGCTTCGTTCCTTCCTCTCCCGTCACGAACCCCTCCAATCGGGTTTCTGTGCTGCCCAAGACCCTCCTCTTCGACCGTGCTTTCGATCTCCCTGTTTCCCCCCCATGCCCTCCACCCTCCCCGAGTCCAACCCCCAGCTCGGGTCCGAAACTCTGTCCGTCCAGCACCTTGGGACGTCCTCCCAATGTGAAAGGTGCTATACCAATGAAATTTTGTTGTTGTTGTTGCATGGAACTTCAGCAGCTGCTTACCTCTCTGTATACCAGGCAAGGTGGATACCAAGCCCTGGGTTTATGAGCATTTGTTCATAATGGAATTACTTCAATCCAAATCAACAGAAAATTTAAAACCTAAATTAACTGAAATGCTGAATAACAGTTTTACTTAAGAAGGTTGTATTTATTAACCTATTTGTGATATTTGGATATTTCACTCTCCACCTCTCAAAGACAGTCAGGAACCTCAGCGTTCTGTTCGACCCTGAGCTGTCCTTTCTTCCTCATATCTGCGCCTCAACTGGCACCGTCTTCATCACCTCCGAAACATCGCCAGACTACAGCACTACCTCACCCCTCACGCTGCTGAAACTCTGGTCCACCTCAAGGCTGGACTATGGGAACTCTCTCCTCGCCGGCCTTCCCGCCACCTCCCTCCACAAGCTACAGGTCATTCAGAACTCTGCAGCTCGTGTACTGTCCCGCACCAGGCTTCGGGACCACATCACTCCCACCCTCGCTCGCCTCCACTGGCTCCCCATCCCCCAGAGGATCCAATTCAAGATCCTCACCCTCACCTACAAGGCCATTCACGGCCTCGCTCCCTCCTACCTCTCCGACCTACTATCCCCCTACCTACCTGCCCGTACCCTCCGTTCCTCTGGCTCCGGTCTGCTCCACATCCCCCGTCCCAACTGCCCTACCATCGGTGGCCGGGCCTTCAGTCTCTCAGCCCCGAGGCTCTGGAACTCTATCCCCCAGTGCCTTCGCCGCCTCCTCCCTTTCCTCCTTCAAGGCCGGTCTCAAGACCTTTCTCTTTGACTGTGCCTTCAGCTCCCCTCTCGACTCTCTACCCCCTCCTCGCTCCCTCCCTTCTCTCCCCTCACCCTGACCATTTCAACAACAACAAGATTCCATTTATAGAGCGCCTTTTACTTCGGGAGGACGTCCCAAGGCGCTGGAAGAATGGCAGTTCAATGCAATCCTTTTCCCCCCTGCTCGGGTCCCGACCCAATTGGCCAGCGCCTTGGGACGTCCTCCTGACGTGAAAGGCGCTCTATAAATGAAATCTTGTTGTTGTTGTTCATCATAGAACATCAAATCAGTCACATTTCTGAGATTAGCTTTACTCTTGATGCATTCGAGAAAAATGGAACGTGAATTAAATTATTAAGATATAACATATTAAATATGTTATTGTGTTTACCTTCAGAACTTCAAAGATGTTGGGCATTGTAGTTGTCGGGATTGGCATCGTGGGTAAAGTTCGGATCCGGGATCTGCTGAATCCATTGCCATCAAGTGCTGTCGAAAAGCTCAAACCTTTGGGCTTTGTTTCCAGGTATGAAAACTATGCTCTTGTGCTTCTGTAGTTTGCTGCAGTGAAAATAAATGTCTCAATTGTGTGAGGTATGTATCTGGAATTATCATGCCCATTTGCTCCAGGGTCAATCCTTACATTCTAGAGGTAGCACAAACGACTACATAGGCAATATGAGCTCTGACTCTAAAAAGGGTGCAGTGAACAGCACCAGCCTCATGCAACAATTGCTGAATTGAATTTCCCTGTCTATTTCTATGTCTAGAATGGAATGCACATGCTCTCCTTGGAGGGATGCACCCTCCTTACTTAATTCCAGTGAGTAATAGACATAAGTTCGGCCCCCTATAGGGTGCATTGGGATACTGCTAGAATTTAACCAGTAAAAAACACATAACTTGCCATTAAGAACACTGGCTGCAAACTTCCCACCGCTTGTCTAGCGAGCACCACTCTACCCATTAAGGCTTTGACTTGCAGGGTTAATATAGTTGAGTGGCAAGAATCCCACTGACTGGTCTGCTCCCTCCAAATTTTGCTGATGAGGCAGACTGTCTGATCGGTCACAACAGTGCCTTCGAGTATTGTATACCTGCCTGGCTCAGGAACTGGACACAGCCACAGACAATTGAATCAGTTCCAACATTTTAATGGGTTTAGGAGGATCTTCTTTACACAGAGGGTGAGAATGTGGAACAAACTGCAAAATGCAGTGGTGAAAACGAAAAGTAATAATGCATTTAAGAGGAACCTCAATGTATATCATTAGGGAGAATATGGGGGGGGGAGTATGGAGTATGGAGAGTATGGGGGGGGAGAATAGAGTGGGGGAGGTGGGGGACGTTCATGCAGACGTAGGTGGATTATCTCCATGATTCTTTGCGTCTCTTGTGAGTCTAACCAGTTGCTTTTTTTTTGATCCTCCTGTATCCTTTATCCTCGGACGTTCTGTTTCACCCACAAAATTTATAGTCAATTCACTTTAAAGTATATTCTGTGAAGCGCTTTGAGATGTCTCGAAGACGTGATAAGGCTCTACGTCAAAAACAAGGATTATTATTAACCTCACTATCTCCTCTAACCTCAAATGGAGTTTTCACTCTTTTTCCATCTTAAAGCTGCCTCGAAGAAATCAAATTTTCCCTTTTCATGCCAAACACTTTCTTCACCCCTCAATAGCACTTAATCCTCTGTTAAGCCCAAACTTTATCCAAGACAACAACAAATGCTACAACCTGATAATTCTGTCAGCTTTCAAGTGGGAATAAGGAAATGCAGACTAAAATCATTTTAAAAATCTGGGAATTACTCAGTATCATTTGGTAGAAATTGAAAAGAAACAGACACTGGTTTCTAAACCCTTCAGCCTAGCTTTAGTGAGTTGCTATATATGAACAATAATTTTTCAATTTTAAAATGTAATTAGAAAATGATGGAAATGCACAGCAAATTGAGAGAGATTTCTGGTGAGAGAGAGATTTCTGCTCTAAAAGGGGGGAACCTCACCAAAAACACTGACCTGACTTTCTCTTTTGAGGTGCTGAACCATCTGCTGTTTATTTCCAGCCTTTGCACTTTCTTTTCATCAAATTTTCACAAATGTCTTTTGAACGTATACAGCTGTTATACAGGAAATCAATCTGTTCTGTTTTTAAACTGAGTCCTGACATGGACAAAAGATTTACTGTAGTCATTTTAACTTCCTCGGATTCAATAAGGAATGAATGCAGTAAATCATGATTTTGGCGAAGTGTAAATGCAGACTAAACAGATTTTCTATGTACCAATCCAGCTCAAATGACAGTGGTAACTATATTTTAGTTACAGGATTTATTGTGTGCTGCAAATATTCGTTTTGCAATATCAAGTGATCTTGCAGCCTGGCTGCAAGATTTGTAGCAATTTATGCTCTGAATCAGAAGGTTGTGGGTTCAAGCCCCATGGAACTTGGAACTCATATAATCTAAGATGATACTTCATTGTAGCGCTGCGTTGTTGGAGGCGCCGTCCTTCAGATGAGTTCAGACGATGACGCGATTGATTGTTCAGGTGGATGCTAAAGATTCCACGGTACTATTTGAAAAGAGAAGAGAGTTTCTTCTAGTGTCCTGGCCAACAATCCCCCCAAAATAAAGCTAGTCACGCCTTGCCCCCCTCACCATTGGCAATCAAGCCTTCAGCCTTTCTGCCGCTACCCTCTGGAACTCCATCGCAGAATCCCTTTGCTTCACCCCCTCCCTTGCTTACTTCAAGGCCCATCTCAAGACCCTCCTCGTTGACCATGCCTTCAGTCACCCTGCCACCCCAACCCCACTTGTCCTCAACGCTTCTCGACTCCGACCCCCAGCTCAGGTGGAAACCCTTGACTGGTCAGTGCCTTGGGGCATCCTTCCAACATGAAAGACATTATATAACTGCAATTTGTTGTTGTTTCTTGGGACGTCCTCCCGACGTGAAAAGCGCTATATCAAATGCAAGGATTATTATTATTATTTAGGTGATTAAAAAGCAAAACTCACCTCACTGCAATAAAATGCATAATGCAGTAGTGGTCTTTCATATTGGTCAAAGCTCTTTGAACAAAATTGATTGAGAAATAGATTTTTGGCTTTGTTTCAAAGTGCTTGAATTACTTAGATTATGTTACCATTTTAGGTGTTGCCTGTAACCCAGTCTGCTTTCACAGTTTTTGAAACAAAATCTTATTTCATGTCATACCTGAAAAACACGACAATCGAATATTAAGAATGCAAGCGAGCATTGAAGGAGAAAAGTACATTTGGGCTTCAAACCTATTCCTTCCATAAATTGTGCATACCCCAAACAATCTTGGACTCCACTCCTCTATCTTATTACAGACGTGCATTCCAATCTCTCTTAAAACAAAATCTCTAAAATATACCCATTAACCTAGCAATTCTAGTCCTCTACCATCCACATTCAACATCCCCCTTTTCCCTCTCCCAAGAAATCATGACCCATGGGCAAAACTGCTGATTATATTTGCTTTCCCACTGAATTTCAATATCTGTTAGTACTTGATATTTGTGACAGATTCAACCTTGCACTGTCTGCATTGAAACCCATTTGACTGCCAGACCAAAGCATTAGATTCTATTGTATAATATTTTGAGAACCTCTCAAGTAATACCGTGAAGACCCCAAATCAATAGTTACATGATCTTCTCTGTAGTTCTCTGAAGAAGAAAGGTGACTCATGCAATACTCTTAACTTCAGAAATTATCCTTAGCTCTAAGTCTGGCTGTGATTTGTGTTCTGCCCACCCTGGCTAAAAGGTGAGTTTATCAGTGAGCACAAGCTTATGTGTTCCCCCAGTGCTGTAGCTGTTTAGTTATGTCGAGTCAGCAGAACAAGAGGGCATTGGTTAAGGTAGTGAAGGGTAATTTCAAATCAGAAATATTGCGATGGGTTGGGGGATGACCCAGAGGGTAAACAATGACTATCAGAAAGGGTGGATAATGCCAGAACCCTGGACTCATTTATGAAATCATTTATCAGCTATGATCTAATAGAATGGCGGAACAGGCTTGGGGGGCTGAATGGCCTACTCCTGTTCCTATGAAATAGCTTGAAGCTGCATATACTAGAGTGTATTCTTGAAGGATGAGATCAAGGGCTGAAGGGCCTTCATCTGAACCCTTCTTGCGATCTTGTGATTATGAATCCACAGAATCGGCATTAAGTGGTTTGAGACGTCTTCCTGATGTAAAAGGCTCTATATATATATGTAAGTTGTATCTGCAGCCTACAGTCACTGCGGAGTCCCTTCATTTTGATATATAAATGCAGGATTATAAATCCAGGATAAAGGCAACAGCAAAGCCATATAGTCCACTTTTCTGGCCAGTTGGGGTCTCTCCCAGTTAACATTATTACCTGAACCACAGTCATTATGCATTAATCTAAATGCAAAGTTACAACAACGACGACAACAAAATTAAAGTTATAGAGTGCCTTTCATGTCGGGAGGACGTCTCAAGGCACTGGATAGCCAGGGATCAGGACCCGAGCATGGGGAAGGGGTGGGGTAGGAGTGAGGGAAGGCAGAGAGGTGGGAGGACGACCGAAGGCACGATCGAAGAGGAGGGTCTTGAGACCGGCCTTGAAGGAGGCAAGAGAGGAAGCGAGGCGAAGGGACTGTGGGATGGAGTTCCAGAGTGTGGGGACAGGTCGGGTGGCAGACATGGAGCAGGCCGGAGCCCACTGAACGGAGGGAGCGGGCACGTTGGTAGGGAGTCAGCAGGTCAGACAGAGAGGTAGGATGGGGAAAGGACATGGATGGCCTTGAATGTGAGGATGAGGATCTTGAATTTGATCCTCTGAGGGATGGGCAGCCAGTGGAGTCGGGAGAGGGTGGGAGTGATGGGGTCACGGAGCCTGGTGCGCAAGAGTACATGAGATGCAGAGTTTTGGATGCTCTGCGGCTTGGAAGTCCGATGAGGAGGGAAGGCCGATGAGGAGGGAATTTCCATAATCGAGCCTTGATGTGACGAATGCCTGGGTGAGGGTTTCGGCAGCCTGAGGGGTGAGGCAGTGGCGGAGTCTGGCAGTGTTGCGGAGGTGGTGTTAGGCAGTGCCAGTCATGGCGGGTTTGTGGGGGAGAAAGGACAGTTCAGGGTCAAACAAGACACCCAGGTTCCTGACTGGCTTAGTGAGGTTGAATGTGCAGCCGTGGAGGCTGATGCTGCCAGCGCCTGAGGTGTGGAGGCGCTGGCGTGAGCCAATTAGGAGGGCCTCAGTCTTGCTGACGTTCCGCTGGAGAAAGTTGTCCCTCGTCCAGGACTTGATGTCGGACAGACAGTCGGTCAGGACACCAGTAATCCTGTAGTTGAGGATGGAGGCAGAGAGGTATAGTTGGATGTCATCCGCATACATGTGGAAATTTGCTCCATGTCTGCGGATGATGGCACCGAGGGGCAGCATGTAGAGGGTGAAGAGGAGGGAACCAAGGACAGAGCCCTGAAGAACGCCGCATGAAACGGTGCAGGGACTGGAGGAG